TTTTATGTAACCACTTCGTTACTGAAAATTAAATGTCCCTCTACTTTATTCCCAATTATAAAGTGGTAAAATACTAAGGGATATCTGATTTCTTTTTAGTAACAACTGCAGTAGATGAACTAAAAACGCGCTAAGAAACAATGGAATATTGTCTTATAGCCGTTGTTCATTATCAGATTTGTATAAGTTAAAGTGAAACTTGAGCAGTATGGTAGCAGTATGTAATAAACTCACAACTGACCATGAATTCAGAAATAAAACTAAGTTTTCTGTTAAAGAAATTATGCTAGGTATTCATTTGTGTCTAAACTTCGACGGTTTCAAAATTTTAAGACAAAATATAAAAACGCACCAAAGAAGAATCGATGTTATCTTCAATATCCCAAATCGTAGCAGATATATTTATGGACACTTGAGAACAAATAGCATTAACGACATTCCAACCTAATCCAAAGGTGTATGGTGGCGATATATAGATGACACATTCACTGTTGAAACGGAACATATTCAGAGCTTTATTCATACAAATTTACTCGACAGTAGATGCTGTAAAGAAGGAGAATTACCAATGTTGAATTATAAAATCAAGAGGAGAGAAGATGGGGAAGCTTAGATGCCAGTGGTTATGAAAAACCAAAAAATTCTAGTAGATACTTAAATTTCGCATCATCTCACCACACATACCTATCAAGGTAGGCTTGATAAAATGTCTAAGTAATCGGGATACAAAATTGACTAATCAATCGGGAAGCTAAAATGCAGAAATGAAATATATCACAGAGACACTAATTCCTTATAACTAACTTTCGGAATCAATTAGAACTTCGATAAAGACTGATAAGGACAAAAGCGGTATTGTCAGTAGTAATGGCAACATGCCTCAGAAAGAATTCAAATCCTCTTTAATGTTGCTGTCTAAACAAGACGCATCGAAAATTTTGCTTACAATTCTTAACAATACTGGTTGGGATTAGGGTAACATTTAAATCTTCAAACGCGCTCACAGATAAACTTTTTAGACTAAAAGATTTAACAGAGCCAGTTAAGAAAAATAACCTAGTCTATCAAATACCATGTAGTCGTTGTGAGGTCAAGTGTAAGAAGTAAAGCAGCTGATCAGTGTCATTGAGAATAGTAGAGCACAAACATTCAGCGAAACCCACAATAGTAGACCCTCTAGAGATGAGTAACTTGGATAAAACCTTGATTATCGCTCTACATACACTGACTCACTACCACACTCTAGTGGGGGAGGGATGGGATGATAATTCTAAAGTCCAATATAGCCAGGTGGAGAGAGAGAGATTGATCACAGAATCTTTGTTCATTTAACCAACACCTAACACACGTTAGGCGCATTTATCTGGGAAATTTTACCATCATTAAGATTTAAAACAATGAAGAACTGTTTTCATCTTGGTGACTAGCAGCGGAATCTTGGACATGCGTTTCAGCCTATTCAGATGTACCTGCACTCCGCTCATTCGTTATCGAGGCATCCGCACAGGAGCTCATTTTTCCAACAGAGTTCGAGGAATAGTACTCTATGTAGTAAAGGGAAATTACCAGTATCGAACAGCAATAGAGAATGAAGAATTGTTGAACTATATAAAGGAAGTTGGAAAGGCGTATGACTACTTTGATATGAATATGAGGAATAAATTTTTAACTCGAAATGTCATCCAGTAAATCATAATGTATATCCTGTGTGCCATATCAAATATGCGATCTAATATGGAGTCATTATCAAATTCTGGTGACTGAAAAATACAATTCAGCTATACAAATTACAAAAACTAAGCAATGCAATCATTCAGTAACAAAAGTGCATTCTTAGGCATCCTACAGATATTTAATTACTGTAGTATTTTTTCCAATTAACAAATTCATTTAGTAACAAAGTTCCGAATCATAAGGAGAATATCTAAATGGCACCAACCTTCGTAATTAAATTATAATTAGAAAGATCTTGGTGTGTTAATTGCTTCCTATATACATCTGCCTTGGAAATTTTTTACTGATTTGGTTGCTGAGTGAATTGTCAAAAGTTGAGGACCTAGCTTTTGTGCTTGCTGGGATGCGTCATAAAAGCGTCGCCCAGCACTTCAGTCAGAGATGTTACCACCTAGGTATTCTAACGGCGACTAGCGTCCCGCAGGACTGGATTAGATACAATAATTTGTCGCTCGTTTATCTTGTCCAGCTATCAGTTGTTGTTTTTTATTTATCCTTTACGTTCCTAGTGGAACATAGGGCTTCAATAGCACGTCTCCATTCCACTCTCTTCTCTGCAGTCTTTTCAACCTGGCTCCACGACTGCCTATAAGCTTCCATTTCTTCCTCACATGATCTCCCCCATGTCATTGTCGCCACGGATGCTCAACTCGTCGTTTCCCCTTTGGATTCCACTCGAGGATCTGGCCTGTGAAGTCCCCGAATGGTATTTTCAGTGTATGCTCAATCCATCTCCACTTTCTTCTGCATATTTGTTAGGCGATGGGTCCTTGCCTCGTTGGTTCATTGCCAGCCAGCCAGAGTTCCTTGTTGCTTATTCTTGTTATTCTGGCCATCTGACCTTCGCTCTTTATCCGGGCTTAGGACTGGCTAGTAAACTAGGCGAGATTTCAGTCATCAGTACTGATCTAATGCTTTCGATCGTTTTGTAATATGGCTACTAAGCTAGATGACTCACCACCGTGATACATTTCGATAGATGTCAGTTGGTTGTTCGCACTCGGCAGGTGGCCACGTTGAAAAATGACCCATTGAATTCAGTCACCACTCCAAGACTAGACAAGACAGATGAGATTTGTTGGCATAAGCCTATCTTATCATGCTGTTTATGTCGACTAACAGAACTGAGGTAGACTTTCAGCTTATCTCTTCGCTTTTACAAACTTTTTCTCATGCAAATAATAGTGGTATTTTATTGGTGGTTTGTAAACTTGGTGTGCACAAAAAGGATATAAACAGTTTACCTGTCAGTGACGACCATACTCACATTGTTGGATGTAGTTTACTTTACGCTTTCATTACTATGAATGTTGTGCCACGTATAATGAGCAATTTTGAAAGCTACCGTGTTTTAATGCTGTAGAATATTTGTAGACTGTAGACTAATGATCACCTGCCTCTGAGTAGTAATATTTTCATCTGTGTATCTGGCTAGATAATAGACTGTCTCAAAAATTAAATTAAATATATAGTCTGCTTACATTGAACCCCATGGACAGCGGATACGTTGAGTAATATTCCATTGTTAATTTGAGCAGGATATGGAAATTAACTTCACTATAGAATCAATCATTCGACACAAATACCTGGATTGAGTTTATGACTTTTTGATAGCGTAATTAGAAGACGAAGTTTATCTGAGCAATGTGATGTATTTGCGCAATACACATTTCGAACAATCTGATCACACATTTACTTGTCAAGTCAATACATAGATTAAACCGAGGACTGGGAGGGGGGACAAATGCAACAATTAACACAATAGGGGATTAAAATTAAGAAAGATGAGAACAAACAGAAAGTGACATAGTTGGTCCTAATCTTGGTAAGAAAATAAAGTTTACCAAGGTAGGTGTAGTGTAATAACAAACTGTTTTTGTACACATAAAGGTGGTTTAAATTTATGTATGGCTATGACTTCCGCAAATCTCAGAATACGTCCCTGACTGTTTCTATGTAAAACTTTGAAAGCTGTTTGAACATTAACTTTGTGACCTGTTTCTATGATATGTTTAACTATAGATGAAGAGGGTCGTCTCCCACCAGCGTTTATCACTGTTTTACACTCCATTTGTTTTTGAAGCCATTTAGGCACATGTTTACCAATTTACATGGGTGTGTGGTCACACATGCATAGGGAGGAGTAATCGAGTTATGGAGTTGAGGGTGGGAGAACATATGCCTAAATGGCTTCAAAAACAAATGGAGTGTAAAACAGTGATAAACGCTGGTGGGAGACGACACTCTTCATCTATAGTTAAACATATCATAGAAACAGGTCACAAAGTTAATCTTCAAACAGCTTTCAAAGTTTCATATATAGAAAGAGTCAGTCAGGGACGTATTCTGAGATTTGCGGAAGTCATAGCCATACATAAATTTAAACCACCTTTATGTGTACAAAAACAGTTTGTTATTACACTACACCTACCTTGGTAAACTTTATTTTCTTACCAAGATTAGGACCAACTATGTCACTTTCTGTTTGTTCTCATCTTTCTTAATTTTAATCCCCTATTGTGTTAATTGTTGTATTTATCCCCCCTCCCAGTCCTCGGTTTAATCTATGTATTGACTTGACAAGTAAATGTGTGATCAGATTGTTCGAAATGTGTATTGCGCAAATACATCACATTGCTCAGATAAACTTCGTCTTCTAATTACGCTATCGAAATTCATAAAAGGGACTAACTGTTTAAAATTTATGACTTTTGTTTGAAGTGAGTTTCTTTTACACCTTCATTGTCATCAATTGCTCAGTATTATCTTCATAGATTCATTTTCAATGTTATTTACCGCCAGTCTTTTAGTTTGTGGTATTTGTAGGCATATATTTTCTTTCTCATTAACTCATTTTGGACATTTGATAGTCTAACACTGAAACCAGTATATATGAGGTAAATATTATAGTAAGTGTAAAGTCTATCAAAAATCATTCAGCTGATCTTTAGTGACCTGTTACCATACTACTACAAAGTAACTTGAGTATACAGGGTGCATGTAAGATCACTCATATTGGTACATACTGTCATGTATGAATCGTATTTAGGTGAATCCCGCATTTCTATTCACCTTTAGCATACATTTATGCTCTCATATATATATATATATATATATATATATATATATATATATATATATATATAGTTCATATACACCACTGTGGTTGCGCAACTAACCAGTAATCAATATTCATTCTCTACTTATAAATAAGACATATCCGACTTAGTTTTTTTTATTGTTATTTGAATATTTTCGGTTTCTAGGCAAGTCGTAATGCTGGAATGAAACTACTGGATACATTATCAGATGATGAAGTATCAGATAGAATATCCTGTAGTTCACTTAATTCATCATCTAATGAAAGTAAGTTCATCCTCTTTGAAAATATAATTTAAAATGTTAATTTGCAGTAGTAACAACATCTTTATCTGGAAAGGCAATAACAGCTCATCAGTTGGAATTATCTTCAGACTTGTCATCCTGTGGTGGTCCTGAATCACAAATCACGTAAGTTACTTATGCGTTAATATATATTAAATGGGTGATGACAATTGATGGAAAGCTCTCTGTGACCCTATATTTCGCCCCTGTTTAGACTCATCGAGAAGGCGTATCTGCAGTCTGGAGGGAATAAAGGCAAATCGCGGCCCGAATAAGTTATTGGTAACATTTCCGGCTGCAGTATTATGCAACACTGGTTCGAATCTCTCAGGTCCCATCACTTCTCTCGAGACTGTGGATACACCTTGCATGAAACCTAAGTCAGACATGGTTTCCTGCTGATTGCCTCCAACCATCTAATATAAATGAAAGTGTGCTGTGACGTTGAGTTCCGTAGCTTGGTAACCACAACTTAAAAGGATCCATGGTTTGCGATCCCCACTTAACACTAGTGAGCATGGAATTGTTATATCTCCAGTGACCAATCAACCTTACGATACTTTTGAATTGGAGTCAGTGATATTACGGTAACCAGTCCTATGGTCCAGTGATTGAAAGATAATTTTTGGCTACTAACTATTTGACATCCTGTTCACTTCCAAACACTGAATAATTGCTAGTGTGTTTGATAAAATTCTATTGGTAGCTAGACACAATGTCCCAACTACCGATATTAAGACGGCTTACAATCTCGTACATGAACTTCTTTCGCTTATTTGTTCATGACCAGTCAATTCACTTATCCATCAGTTACAATCATTTTCTACCTAACAGAAGGATGTCAACAGAAAAAAAAGGGTCACCTCTCTTCACATAGATATGATTTGCCGTTTTTAACAAAGTATACTGTTTCATAATAATCACGGATATGATTAATTGGACATGCGTAGTCTAGTTACTGGAAAAATGATATGATACTTGACAACTGGCTCAGCTGATACTACAAGAAGGCAATTTTGGACTGAAATGAGTTTACTCCAATCTAAGTCTGAAGATAACAATCCAGGGATACAATTGTTGCGTTTATAAACAATGTGTTCGTCTATGTGGTGAATAAACAAAATAGCGCATTAAAAATGAGTGATTAACTAATAGGAGAACAGCATTCCTAAAAGAAGTCAATAACTCCAACAACAACAACAGACTCCAGTCGCCATCAACGGGAGAAACTTGAAGGAAGTAACCTCCTTCACCTATCTAGGAAGCACTGTTTCAACTACAGGCGGCACAGACGAAGATGTCAAAGTCAGAATGGGAAAAGCAAGACAGGCGTTCATTCGCCTGAAACCAGTGTGGAGATCTTCTGCACTCCGCTCAGTGTGTGGAACAAGATCCGGATTTTCAACACCAACGTCAAGTCAGTGCTTCTGTGTGGTGGTTGAGAGACTTGGCGCGTCACGAAAGGGATTTCCAATAGACTACAGACATTCATCAACAACTGCATACGCTGGCTCGCTACTGAAGATCAGATGGATTGCCAGGAAGAATAAGCAACAAGGAACTCTGGGAACGAACCAACCAAGAACCTATCACCCAACAAATATGCAGGAGGAAGTTGAGATGGATTGGGCATACACTGAGAAGGCCGACTGGGGACATCACGCTCAGGCCAGGCCCTCGAGTGGAATCCCCATGGGAAGCGACGAGTTGGACGTCCAAGGGTGACATGGAGGAGATCGTGCGAGGAGGAAATGAGAGGTTGTGGGCTGTCGTGGAGGCAGGTTCAAAAGATTTCAGAGAACAGAGTTCACTGGAGGCGTGCTACTGAAGCCCTATGTTCCACTAGGAACCCAAGGGACTAATAATAATAATAATAAAAGACCACCCTAATATCTTTAATCTGATTACTGTAATATTACCTACTTTCATAACACTTTATAAGAAACAAATCATGAATACTCTTGTCACCAAAGGTAACCACCTTGCTACAAACTCTGCTTTTCCCCTTCTACTGGCTCTTTCAATCACTACACTCATGTAGACGACAAATTACTACATTAAAACGTATATTTCGGTTGTAGGATATTCTGAAATAAATATGTCAGGAGACGAGTTACTTTAAAGACCACCCTAGCAATAATTGAAATAACCGATCAGACTTCTGTATTTTATGAAAATCTGCCTTTTTGCCCGAAATGACGAGATCTGATTGGTGATTTCGATCGTTTCTAGGGTGGCCTTTAAAGTCACCCCATGAAGTGATGTATGCATGCTAGAATATCATGTCACCCAATCATAATTTGCTGGACTGCAGTCTTCATTTCATATAACAGGATTTTATTTGCTGAATTCTGATATTTGATTGGTTAGTTTAGCGGTTGCCAGGGCGCCTTTAGAGTTAGTCTTTTTAAGCCGTCACAGTCGGAAAGATAAACACATTCGTATACATTTCTAGTTTACTATTGAATGCCGTCTATTAATCCAGTGTATATAAGCAGACGTGATCATCATTGACTTCGGTGTAGCTGAGTTACTATAAAGGCCATCCTAACAACCACTGAAATAACCAATTAGACTTCTCTATTTTATGGAAGTTTGCCTTTTCAGCCGAAATGAAGAGATCTGATTAGTTTTTTCGATCGTTCCTAGGGTCGTCTTTAAAATCGCCCATTGTAGCTAGCACTGGAATCCAGGACTCACGTTTCTTCCTATTTGTCAGCTGCATGCACCTGCACTACAATGAGTGATGTTGTTCCCACTGTGACTCGAACCTCATATCACTTGCTTCAAATCCTAAAGCTTTATCTGTTAGGCCATCTGGCTAGTCCTAAAGGGGGTGAAACTCGAGTCCTGGACTCCAACGCTAGCCACAACCAAGTTAGTTGGGCAATATCAGAGCATCTGCTTAGGAACCCATATGCCAGCGTAGGTTGATCAATTCGATCCACCGTAACAAAGGAGAAATACACGTCTCAACAGATAATAAATATGGCTATCGTTTGATTTCTGGCGCTAAAAGAGATATTTACTCAGGCATTTGAATAAACAGTATATGTGGGGGGTCATACTATATTCTAACTTAATTAGGCTACAACACATTTCAAAATTTGCATGATATACATTGAGAAACCATGACTTGTAAGGTGAATCAAGTTGGGTATGAAGACAAATACTCAGTGGGGGATGGTCACGCCATATTACAAATTAACAGGAATAGAAAAAGGTTAGAACATGTGGAATTGTTACTCAATAGCTGATAGGTGATGTTCTCCTTATATGATCTGACGTCGTTGGGTAACATCCTTCACTGGTCCTTAGGCAAACATTGATGAAAATTCTCTTACTAGGATGAGACAGTCGTCAAATACTCCTCGATTTTCAGTGATTTTTTAACCGATGTCAGTCTCTGATGAATGTTTTGAAGTACTTCAAATCTGTCTCCCCATTCTCAAGTGTGTGAAGAAGGTTAGCGCTGGTAGTTTAGACTACTTATTCGATCTGATATTATCTCCTTTGTATGATGAATTATGATAAGTTGCCTTGTTAGTGTGCATATCGTACTGACCAGAAGAAACTGGCATATATCAATCTAAGTTCCAAATAGTCTTTGAGTTTCAGTTAAAGCTCATATACTCTCTATCAATTCCATTCATTATGGATCTGTCATCAATGCAGTATTCATTGACTAAGATTATTTTTTTGGGAAAACAGTCTAAGAATTATATTCTCCTTCTTATAGTATAACTAGTGGAGAGACAGACGATGAGGAGATACAAGAAGATGTAATACCCACTGAAACTGTGGAAAAAGAAATATATTTACCTTCACAAGTTGTTGCAACTACTACTGGGTTGCCTATTCTAAGTCTCTTAAAAGCTAACGAATACTTGATATGGAGTGACCGAAATACTGTAAGTTATACGCATCTATTTACTACTGTTATTATTATTATTATTATTATTGTTTGCTACCTTTTACGCTGTTTATACAACAGTCTAGTATACCAGTAAATGTTAATAAAGAGAATACTCTATATTATCCGTTAGTAGACAATCGATATGAAGCTATGAGTTTGGATTTTATATTCATTGAAGCATATGTCCAACTTTCAAAGCGATTACTCTCTTGTTAGAATCTGTTTCATTGACTCTTTGAAACACTGTTTGAACAGATCTTATCATAAGTATGAATTCATGAAATTATCATTCATCTGAATAATAATAATTTATTTATAATACTAAAACTAGGTGTCAGAATAGATGATTCTTTGAAAGTGATTAGGACACTTCTAGTGTTCATTAAAAGTTTTTGAGGTATCTAAGAAATGTGATATATTCGCGTAGTACATTCCGAACAATCTCATCACACATTATTTAGTCAAGACATTTTATATAAAAGATGAAAATAGGGTAGGATAAGATAAATCAGTTAAGAAAATATAAGATTTGAAAAATATGAGGATAATAAGGAGGAATAATACATTTCCATACCTCCTTTGGCATAAAGATTACTAAGGTAGGTTTAAGGTAAGGACTAACTGTTTTTGAATACATAAATAGGGTTTGAACTTTCGTTTAGCTGAGACTTCAATGAATCTAAGTATACGATCTTGATAACTCTTATACAATGGTGTAAAGGCTGTTTTAGGGTCAATCCTGTCACCTGTTTCTATAATATAATTTACCTAACGATGATGACGTCTGTCTGCTTCCTGTATTTAGCGGATTATTTGAACATAATTGGTTTTCTACTCCACCACCGTCGGTTTCATAGTTCGATTTATATTATTATTATTTGTACCTTGGGTTCCTAGTGGAACATTGCCAGAGTTCTTTGTTGCGTATTCTTTTTGGCCATCTGAGCTTCAGTAACGAGTGAGAGTAGGCAGTTGTTGAAGAATGTCTGTAGTTTGTTGGAAATCCCTTTCCTAACGCATCAAGTTTCTGAACTATATAACAGCACTAACTTGACTGGATTATAGTTGAAAATACGGATGTTGTTCACGCTTTACGCTGAGTGCAGTGCAGAAGATCTCCACATTGGTTTCGAGTTAATGAACGCCTGTCTTGCTTTTCCGGTTCTGGCTTTGAAGTCCTCGTCTGTGCCGCCACCTGTAGTTGAAACAGTGCTGCCTAGGTAGGTGTAGGTGACAGAGGCTACTTCCTTTAAGTTTCTCCTGTTGATGGTGATTGGAGCTTGTTGTTGGCGGTGGTGGTATTGGTTGGGTATCTTCATCACGTCTGTCTTCTCTGCATTCACTTGAAGTCCCGTCTTCGCTGCTTTGCCTTGCCTCTTTTATCAATTTGTTAGTTTTCGCCTGTAAATCTTCGAGTTTGTGTAACATCAGACACAAGTCATCATTGGCGAAATTTAGATCTTCTAGGTTCTTTTCCTCAGTCCAGCCAGCGTATCCCCCTCTTCTCGCTCCTCACTGTTTGCTGGATGATCCAGTCCACCACAATCAGGAATATCATGGATTATAGTAGACAACCTTGTTTCACTCCTGTCTTCACTTCAATGTCGTCACTGAACTTCCCATAATGAATTACTTGGTATGTGGCATAGTTCGATTACTTCTCCCAATATATGTGTCACCATACATCGCAGCTTATTTGCATCGTTTATATAAAATGCCTTGACAAGTTTAAGGTGTGATCAGATTGTTCAAAATGTATTACGCGAATATACCACATTTTTCAGATAACCTCCGTCTTCTTTTTACACTATGCGAATAATGCTTAGATAGATAATGCTATCAGGTTTGCTGATGATATTTCAAGGATAGTTTATTGAGCCTTAATGAGAGAAAACTAAATTATAACCACTCATACAGGTATTCTCTATAGTGTATTAGGTAGTTGTTGGGTATGATAGTTTACCGTCTATATTTCATATTTCATTGTTATCCTCTCTGCATATAATGTCATCTTGAAAAAGATTTATTTTATCAAAGTGTGTTTTACTTTATTCATAGTTTTTTTATTCTTTGTGCATTTTTTCTTTTTGTGTTCTTTTTTTCAGGTAAATGATATCTCTGTACATGCTGGATGTATTGATGCTTTAACTGTATATATGACATCATACGGGCGTATGTCACCATCATGTAAGAAATCTTACCCACATTACTTCAATCTTGATTAGCTTTGTTTAAATCTACATAAAGATGAACGTTTTAGCGAAATTTCAAATTTCATTTCTTTCCAATCTATGATTAGCATTTTCAATGTTGGTATTTATACTACTTATATGGATTCTTATAAGTAGGTCTCACTAGACTGTGGTTTGGTGTTATCTGGTCCTTTCACGTTACGCATTTAGGAATGCATATCACTAATGTCAGAATTATAGTCTTCATGGACATATAACTTTTCTTGAGAAGGCTTTATCCATACTTTATAAATATGACTATATCATCGAATTAGATGCTTGATTACGTCAGCTGTTACCTTTATGTAACGTGAACATCTTTTTTACACGTGACTGGCGGTTTTATTAAAGCACAACTAATTTTAGGATAAACCGAATTCTAAATTTGGCTACAAAATTACAATCAAAGTTAATATTGATCGGTCACTGGAGATTAACGAGTGACTGACTACTTAATGTAAATAATCCTGTCTTACACGAGGTCAATCATGGCTAAAATAGTTGTGGTAACATTTTTGACTGCAGCACTAATTGAAACCTGTCCTAATCTCACAGTGGACATCAATTTCGTGGGGACTGAAGATACGCCTTACTGACGATTGCTAACAAGCATGAAATCTAGGTTAGACAGAGTTTCCTGCCGATTGTCTCCAATCGGTTAATACTAAACTTTGGAAGATGAATCTATAGTCGAAATCCGTACAAATACTTCAAAACACATCCATCCTTTTTGTTGAAGGCTGGTTCTCAACTGATTGTCTTTCCTGGTATTCTGTTTTGATGCAAACTACCCTCTCTCAGGTGTTATCATCAGCATGAGTTCTGTCTTCAGTAACTTACATCATCCATTTTGGGGGTTTGTGGAGATTCATTGGTTTCAAATCCGTATTTATCATGAATTCCGTCCGATCCAGTAGCTCAGTGGTGAAGTGGTGACCACGGAACCTGAAGGTCATGAGTTCTACCCCTGGCAGGGTCATAGATGCGCCCTGCTGGGGAGTCCTGGCTAGGACGAAACAGCTTCTTAGTGCTCTCAGGTTTCCATTGTTCCCCCAACTGATGTCAATCTATGATAAATACCAACTTACATCATCAGCGGTACATATTTTTAAAATCGATTCATCTTTTTTTTCTCGTTTATTTTGCTTCTATTTACTTTAGATTACCTGTTCTTTGAGACGTTTCTTTTCATGTATCGATCATTTATGACGTCTGAGGAATTAGTGGATCGTTTGATTACACGATATCAATATTTCAGTAAACCACCGGATCAATTTCCTCATCTAACAAAACTGACACCGGATATTAGATCAAAAGTTTGCAATTCTACTGTATCAATACTAGTGACTGTAGTAAGATGCCTTGTCTTTCTTAAACTGTCCAAGTAACAAATCACTTTTCATATTTTGTTAATTATTTCCTGTAATGTTCTAAATCTGATTCACAGTTGTAGGAACCAATACTGGTGATGTTATTATACGAGCGATGATGATAGACAGACAGAGAGATAAAATCAACGTAGAACCTCGCATATAAATGCATCGGCTCGAGTCAGCACACTTTCAAATAGCATACAAAGAACAGGTGGATAGAGAAAGAGTGACATCCAAGTTGTATGAGAGAATATAAAAAATCTTAAGATAAAGGTTAGTGTGAATATTCAAGCAGTAGAAGACGTTGAGGAGTGAATACGCCTGCATCATTGTCACTGGTTTCCAGAGTCCATAACCACTGACTCGTATTACCTCGGGGACCCCAGTCAAATAGTCTACATCTCCCGGTACGGCCCAGACCGACACTCAAAGACTTCATCGACTGGTACCACATTTTTGGTTAGGCCAACCTAAGCCTTCTTCCAAACTAATCTTGCTTCTTGAGCTGCACGTTGAGGTAGGCGGTGGATCAGCATGCTCAGTACATCTTCAATCTACCTAACGACTTCCTCTCCCATAACCTGAACATCACTTACACGGTGATTCCACCAAACGTGAGCAATCCTGCAAATATACCTATCATCAAAACCATGTAATCACTTCATATCTCCTACTTTCAAAGGGCATGTCTTTCAGCCATATAACAGGAGAGAACAGACTGCAGTCTAGTATACCCGTCTTTTGATAGATAGTCGCATTATCTCGCAAAAGGGGGTCTGAGATGACGGAGGTTGGCGAATGCCAAACAGGCCTTCTGTATCTGAGCTGAGATTTCATCAGGAACCAACATGTTTGTACTGATGCGACTCTCCAAGTAAGCGAGGTGAAGTGGTCAACACATTTCACCACTTAACTCTCTATCATTAGACTGGAAGTAGTTCCAGGCCAGTCCTCGAGAATTATTATATATTTTACATGTATGAGACACATGTCAAACATCCTCAGATTTCTGCTCAACGTGTTCACAAGACCTTAGATTTTGTCAGCGTCTTCACCTAGTAGGACAATATTGTCTGTATACTCCAAGTCATTCAGATGTCATCCATGAAGTAGATCAGTCCCTACAAAGTCAGACATACCTAGGGTTATATCCATCAGTACATCTATAACGAAATGAACTACTAACGGATAAAAGTTATCAAGAGTAACAGAAAGTTATCTCAAGAAAACAAGGAGTGGTGAGATAGTAATAAAACTGAATATTCGATCAAGATGAAAACAAACTATGCGAACCTCGACTCAGCAGTCTACATCGATTCTATACAGTTAAGATCACCACTCAAAGGCTATGCACTGGTATTATGTTTAAGTGTAGTTGCTCCAAACACTTTTCCAGCCTTAATTCACTTCAGCTAACATTGTGAGACGATGCAGACGGTAACCAGACATGCGTGTCTTAACCACCTGTGTTGATTTTTATTCACAACCACATGAACTGACGTTCTCCTACTTGAAACTCTATCCCCTGGCACCATGACACTTAACCTATGCTCCGAAGCCAAATGGTACTTAAACACTTGACTTCTTCTCATGTCTTCTACTTTTAATGGTCATGTTTCACAACCATATAGAGTAGAATAGAGCAAACTAACAGCTCAGTATACTTGACTCTTAATAAACTGTTGGATATAATGACGGCCCCTTGGATGGCATACATTGGCCAAAGCCAGTCGAGCCTTTTGTATCTCTTCGGAGATTCCATCGGTTATTAATCCGTCTTCTCGAAGTTTACAGGAAGCTTATACATTCGAATCAATACTTAAAATAGAGGTTATCTCATCCCGTGTCAGTTAAAATCGATTCAGTGAACTGTTTAATTGATAGAGAGCAATGTCTAGGCACTAAAAGCGAAGGTCTAGGACAAGAAATAAGATATTTAAAGGAAGTCTTAAAAACTATCCTTGTAAATTTTTCCAGAAAGGGATAAAAAATTTCCAATACGGCTTTCTGACATGGACACAATATATACTTACTGATAATAACAACATTAAGACACATGAATTCAAAATCTTCATAGTGTTACCACGAGTTGGGCGTCCGAGGTGAGGGTGACATGGAGGAGCTCTGTAGAGTGTATTAAAAGACAAAATAAATTAATTGATTGAATTCCATACAATCATTGTAAAGTCAAGTATATAGGTCAAAAAAGTCAACTGAGGTCGATTAGAATGAAATAGCAGAAAAACGTGACCAAACCTAAATTGGTAGATCTTAGTATGATAAGAAATCTGAAGAAAAGCTCAGCCATTAAGTTACGCATGCAATTACTCGCAACTGGACGAGTGATAGTTCTGAAAACTAACCTTCCTAGCATATGATACTGCATCAGTTTACCCGCTAAATAACACTTCTCATATCTACAACTGCATTTATCAGCACGGTTAGTGGTGCACCACTTGCTTTTCCGTAGTCCAGGTAAGAATAAAGGCGAACAATAAATAAGTATAGGGCAAAACACAGGAATTAATACAATGTAAGAGTAGAGGTTGAGTTATGCCAGACAGTCTGAGTTTCCATATGTAAAAGGTCAAGCGAAGGATTTTCTTGGAAATCAGTAAGGTGTGAGGGGACCAAGAGAGAGAGAAAAAAACAGAATGAACAGTACGCTGGGCATACTGACTCCACTAAGTAGCAAAATGGAGCGTTTCGCTATGTATATAGAGTAAACTTTCTCCTTTCTGAAAAATAGGAATCAAGCCAGTTCTCAATCTGGGACTTAATGTGAGTTCTAGCAATCTTGTTTAATAAAATGGGTCTAGGAACAGAATCATAAGTAGAAGTATCATCTAAGAAGTCAGATCGAACATATTTAGCACTCCTTAGTCCAAACTCGCAAAGGACACTATGATATAAAACAACTGAAACATCTAAAGTACTTCTCTTAATTTTCTAGGCAAATTGATTTAGATCTCTGAAAGCCTCTAAAGGAGAGTCAAACACATGAAGCAACAGGTGCTTTATTGTATTATTAGCAATGGTGAAGTTATTGGTGATTTGTTTTTGGAGAAGATTAATAACTGAAACTTTGTTTACCGAACATATACAGTAGAAATACCTCAACACATATTCCAGATATTCAAAAACTTTTACCATACTCATAGGACAAATTAAGGCGAAGAATCGGTGTGAAACTTGTCATTGAAATAAGTCTAAAGAAAAAATCCTGTTCTTAAACGCTATTCGATAAATAATACTGCTTCACTGTATGAAATATCCAACTATGAGTTTACAAACTGTATTTCTACCCCTGTCATTTTTTGATCGCTGATGTATTTCCTCATGGTGTATAAATAACTACCTATAATTTTCAGCCTAATTTACAAATTGGTATGTGTTTTTTGCCTTGCATTATTGGCTTACAGAAGGCAACTCATCATTATTATTATTTGTCGCTTGGGTTCCTAGTGAAACATAACGCTTCAGTAGCATGCCTCCATTCCACTCTATTCTCTGCAGTCTTTTCAACCTCGCTCCACGACTGCCCAGAAGCTTCAATTTCTTCCTCACATGATCTCCTCCAGGTCACTCTCGCCTCCCACGCCAAACTCGTCGTTTCCCATGTGAGTTCCACTCGATGACCTGGCCTGGCCCGTGATGTCCCCAATCGGTCTTCTCAGTGTATGTCCAACCCATTCCATCTCCACTCTCTTCTGCATATTTGTTGGGCAATGGGTTCTTGCCTCGTTGGTTCGTTGCCAGCCAGCCAGCTTATTCTTGTTATTCTGGCCATCTGATCTGATCTTCAGTATAGAGTGAGCGTAGACAACAGCTGTTGATGAATGTGTGTAGTTTGTTGGAAATGCTTTTCGTAACGCACAAAGTCTATGAACCGAACCATATGGAAGCACTGAGTTGACTGAATTAGTATTGAAAATCCGGGTCTTGTTCACCCTTTTTACCGAGTGGAGTGCAGTAGATCTCCACACTGATTTCTGGTTAATGCAGGAACGCCTGTATTGCTATCTTTCTGGTCCTGGCTTTGACGTCCTCATCTGTGCCACCTGTAGTTGAAAGGGTACTGCCCAGGTAGGTGTAGGTGGAAGAGACTACTTCCTTTACGTTTCTCCCGTTGGTGGTGATTGGTGCTAGTTGTGGTTATTGGCGTTGTCGTTTGTTGGGTACCTTCAACACCTCTCTCTTCTCTACGTTCACCTGAAGGAAGTTCCGTCTTCTCTGTCTTGCCTCTTCTGTCAACTTGTTAGTTTTCGCCTGTAGATCTTCGTGATTGTGCGATTTTAGCCAGAAATCATCATCAATGAAATTGAAATCTTCTCTTGGGGTCTTTTCATCTGTCCAGCGTATGTGCAACTTCTCGCTCCTCACAGTTTGTTGAGTAATCCATTTCACAAAAGGTAAATAGATTTAATTATTTTATAGACGTCAGGAGCAAAATTTGACGTGATGGAGTTGCGTAAGTTGAGGATTGGGTAAATGAGGATTATAAATGTAATAAAACCTTTACAGATTATCGAATGTACAGGTTTTATTCTCTGAAGAAGCCATTTCCACGAAGTCATGAAACATCAGAAATTTATTTTTCTACCTTATTAGGATTTTACAAATATAATTTCATTGGTAGACTTAGTTATAAGTTAAGTGTTTGTAGGCAGCCAGTCGGTTGTTACGATTTTCACTAGATGACAGTGTCCCATCACTTCTTTATCATCTTGCAAATTTCATCCAGGAACTTGGTTGCCTATCCTATATCACTTTATTACCTTTGATATTTCTTACCAAATCGTTACAATGTGTGTATGAGATTGCAGTCTATTTGAGATGACTAGCAGTGGAATCCAGGACGTTTGTTTTGTCCTATTTGGGACTTGCAATCTAGGTCTGTCTGATGTTCTTCTCCCAGTAGATAACACCTTGGCCTTTGTATCGATGGTTGCTAGGTCTGAGCTTCAGTGGGAGAAACATCAATCATTGGGGTCCAGGTACATCTAGTTGACGAGTTCCAAACGGGAAAAAACGCTTGTCCCAGATTTTACTTCTAGTTATCAAACTGACGTCGATATAGGAGCCTATCTACCGACAGAGGTCGAGCAATTCGATCCTGTATAGCAACGGGGAATTGTAAGTATCAATAAACGATGTGTATGAGATATTGTCACCCAGTCAGTATATTCTCTATCCTTTCTTTTCTTTCATTCTCACCTAAGGTTTCACGTCTAAAACAAGATTTAAACAATGAATTACTTCAAGTGCTTGAAAATTTTGAAAAAACTCTTTCAAAAGATGGATATGATTCATTAAGCCGAATACTACACATAACAATCCTTCGACAAACTCAAGAAAAGCTTCAAATCTACTCCACTCCAAGCACAGAACTAATAAATCATAGTCATAATCATAGATCTGACTCACCGTTATCACATGGTCGAGCTTCATCACTTTGTGATATACCATTGCCTGATTCGATGCTAAATGAAAGTTATACAGACAATCAAAGTCCTGGATATGATGAAGATGTTGGCTTCATTACTCTACCTAAAGTGAAATCTAAACGTTCTCAAGTTATTGAAAGTGTCGATCGGTATTCATTGGTTGAATCCATTGAAAATGATCATTCTAATTCACCAATTATGCATTCGTTTACATCTAAAAGGATAATGTTGAATTCATCAAAAAATGGACTTGGTCTGCTTAACTTTTCTGCTAAAGCTTTAGCTGAACAATTCACCTATTTGGAATGCTTAAATTATTATAAAATTGAGGTAGGTCGATTTGTAGTTTGCATAAATATGGATTAATGATGGATTGTGTCTAGCAGTGGAATCCAGGATGCGCATTTCGTCTTATTTGGGACTCGTCAGCTGGATGTATCTGCTTCTCAGTGAGTGATGTTCCCACCGGGATTTGGACTCGGGAGCGAGCGCTTCAAACTCCAGACGGTTGTCCACTACACCACCGAACCACGATAGCCACTTCTTGTGCGATGGGTATAGTTTTCATATAATTGTTTTTATATGATACCGTCGTTGATTGGACCGAATCGATCGGTCTCTATTGGCATATGGGCTCCTGTGCGGATGCCTCGATATTGCCTGCGTTCTAATTGTGTTAGGGAGGGATCGTAGCTAGCAGTGGAATTCAAAATGCGCATTTCGTTCTATTTGGGATGCGTCAGCTGGATGTACCTGCTTCCCAGTGAGTGATGTTGTTCCCACCGGGTCAGTCGCACAGGAGCCCATATGCCAATAGAGACCGATCGATTCGGTCCAATAAATGACGTATCACATAAAAACAATTATATTATAAATATGGATTGTTTTATTTTTTTCCATTGTGAATCTTACACGCATTGTTAGTTTTTTAATTGTCTACGTAACGTTTTGTTTATCTTATGGAGTTGTTCGCCCTAAATAGTGCTGTTCAAGTCTTTTGTACTAGAGACAATAAATTGAAATAACAGGAAACAGGTTGTTGATACTACGAGGGGGATATCTAAAGCTGGAACCTAGATGATTAAAGGATTTTTAATTGGCTATTACATGAATTGCTTACCATTGTTTGTGTAAAGTTTCTAGTGCTGACCATAGCTTCTAGAATGTAGCCTCAGTGTTATCACTAAGCTAAGTGGCAGAATGCCATGATGCTCTTTATCTGCATGTTACATGTTGGGAGTTGATTGGCACCACAGACGGCTACCGACAGTTATCTAGGATTGTAATAGTCATGATTATCTAGTTGGAAGATATTCTACGAAGTGGGTAATAACTACAAATAGCTGTGATAGAACTACAGTAAAAGAATTTATTTATCTTATACGCTGTACATATAAATGAGAAATTCTAATTTACACCCAAATCACCGTTCTTTCTCTAAAGCGTCATCATTTATGATGGAACGAAATCTTGATTTCAGATTGTTATTCATCATGGATTGACATCAGTTTGAGAAATATTGGAAATCTGAAAGCATTCAATAGCTGTTTTATCCCAGTGTAGGACTCCGCAGCAGTACGCTCCCATGACTCCGCGAGTGCTGTTTAGTGATTTGCTTAGAGATGAGATTCCTAAAGTCCTAATGAGAAGTTGCGACTGGTGGGGAAAGCCAAGATGGACGTGAGTTTGTGCTTTATCCCGAACCGATAGATAAAGGAAATGTGGACTACTGGATGGGGACCCACTAGCTCAATGATAACATGGTGGCTGCAGAACCTTAAGCCTGTGGGTTGGATCTCTGAAGGGATCATGGGTGCGCACTGGTGAGAAGTCCCATTCTAGGACGGAACAGCTGTTCAGTGCTTCCAGATTTCTAATGTTTCTCTAACTGATGCTAGTCCATGATGAATATCAATCCTTGAAACCAGTAAATAAATCCTCTCAAAACCTCCAAATTTAAATCCTAAATCCTGAAATCGGAATATAATCTCTCTTCCTGATCTTATGCCTCATTCGAATCGCTTAGAAACGCAAGCTCATAAATTTATATATATATATATATATATATATATATATATATATATATATATATATATATATATATGATCAGAAGTCTTAGAATACTATAGATGTCTTCACTTTAACCGTTCCTGTGGAACCATATACTTAAGGCGTACAATTAGACAAAGTGCATCTCGGGATATCACAGCACTTACCAGCTTGGTTTGGAAAAGGTAAAATGAAAGTGGTGAAAAGTTCTGTCTTAGTGCACCTAGTAAGCACAGAGAATCTCAGAGATGCTTATAAAGCTTTCATTGTTGTACACCGCAAGCCGAAAACAGTACTACGTGTAGCTCAACATGACTCGGTGCTTGCAGTAAGATTGATTAAATATGAACTCTACATTCAGAAATATGTCTAGACATTATTTCTTCCTTGACCTTCAATAAATTAAAGACTACTTCTGTCTTCGTTATTTGCTGTCTTTCCGTTTATTACCACATTCTTCATCTGTACGTACATCATCGATTTCCTTGCATTCTTCAACTCCATTCGCCATGAACTTGGTCTGTTTTCACGTTGTGTTGTTATTATTATTATTATTAGTCCCTTGGGTTCCTAGTGGAACATAGGGCTTCAGTAGCACGTCTCCAGTGAAATCTGTTCTCTGAGATCTTTTGAACCTGGTTCCACGACAGCCCAGAAGCTCGCATTTCTTCCTCGCACGACCTCCTCCATGTCACCCTCGGACGTCCAACTCGTCGCTGATAAGAACTTATCGAAAAGAATGTTCTTTGATTAAATTGTTTTTCATTTATTTCATATATTCTAGATCAAAAAAATGGTCAAAAAATGATTAGAAGATGCCAGTCTCAAAACGATAAGAAATCTTAACATAGTACAGATATCTCGACGTTCCCCAAACACGCCCAGAAAATATGCATTCATTCAACTACTCGAGTGTTTTTTCCTGTAAAATGTAAAATATCTTGACAACTTTCAATATCTTGATGTAAAAGTTCTATTTGAAAATCTGATCAATCACACAACTTTACGTGACTTTTTAAGAAATAAGGATTTATACTAGATGGTGATTGAAGGTGAAATGACAATTTGGATTGTGGTCGAATTGGAACCAATAAGCACCAGATTACTGGTCCACTGCTCTGCCAACTGAGCTACGACGTTTGACTTCTGACCAAATTTTCATTTCATTTTCAATCATCACCCAGTATAAATAATTAGTCTGCCAAACCATCACTCCGATAAGGGTGCTGTTGTTGTTCTCATCGATTAGTTGCACTACGCTTCTTAAATAAAATTGGTTTTATTAGATGAAAGCAAGTTTTTTCAAAAGAGGCTAATCAGAAAAATGCTAACAAACAAGCTGAAGAAAAGTGTACTTAGGTTTTAGTAGAGAAAGAAGCATAAATTGATCATCAGAACAGAATTATTTCGACACCTACTGCCATCTTGTTCTTTATTTACTTCTTTTTATGGTCATTCAAAAGTACACAAAGAGAGAGAGTTACACTACACGCAATTTTGGATATGTACTATTCATCATGCGATATTGACATTAAATACGATCTCTGCTATTCTTCAGCCAATCAAAAAACATCTAACTACCCATAGTTTGTTGGATACTTAGTACTAGTGTATTGGGTAAAGGAATAATCTCTCTGGATGTAACCTCTTTCCCTTTACTAATTTCTCACCATCTGTCTTTTGTGCGACTTCATCGAAGATTACAATTTCGGTTCAAAGTCAACGGTGGATTGTGCAAACAATTGGTTCACCACTCAATTGTTAACTTGCTAATCGCTTCAAGAAACATCTGGAAAACAACGTTTGTAATTCGACGACTGACAGTTTGCATTTGTACGTAGGTGATATATTCGTGATTTATAGTGAAAATATAGGTATTGATGTCATTGTTGAAAGGCAAAATGACTGCCATCAGTCGACAGTCCTCATATCAGAGACCGGAAAAACCTATGACTATTATTTCCTGGGTGGTTCGCTGAATAACAGAGTACACAGTTCCCTTCGAAGATCAATCACCAAGAAGCTGTCATACAAAAAACAATACACAAATTTTCACAGTTGATCTCCGTTGAGCAGAAAGATAACTAAAAGTCCTTGTGCAGATGACAAAGTTGATAACGAATTGAATAAACAATGATACGTTTTTATGCAGAATGGAACTGAGAACTGAGAAGAACTTTAAAGTCAGACAACATGCTGAGCAGCTCCACACGGTTCTGAAGAAGCTTATGTTTATGAATGTTGATGATGCTGTAGCTATGATCCTGAAGAATCGATTGTCCACATAGCCGAGAAGAACATTTTTTTCTGCTAAACTACAGGTCACGCTTATCAGTTAGTAAACAGTTCCTGAGTGTACTAAAGCCAAGCTGTCACTTTGTGCTTGCGATTTTATTCGCCCCTATGAAGCTAGTTATACAAGTTGCAAAAAGCATATACTTTTCAAAGGCATATCATAATATTACGCTGCCTTACTGTCTAAAGTGCAACGCAAATGTGTCGGTTCGATTCTTGAGTACCTGATGACTTCCGGGCTTGTAGCTTTCACGCAGTTTCCCTTTCAACACTGTCTACAAAGAGAAAGCGAACAACATGGTAGACGTACTGGGAATTCATCGGTTTGAACCTGGTCTGTGTGTGCTGTAGACATATATTCAATCCCTCACATAGTCTTGGTTACCATTTTTGTTGTTCCATTTCGTTATAATCAGTCAGTTCGCTATTATCACCTTCACTATGACCGTCGTTTCTTTCTCCTACTTCCGTATGTTACTCCAGTTATCTTTCTTCAGGTCTAGAAACAACTTTAACCCTGTTAAATTTCACACTTTTTTTTCTGTCTTCGCTGTCATATAAAATATTGCACAATCTCTTATCATCCCACGAAACCCAAAGTGGACGGCGTAACGCTATCCTAACTTTTAGTAATATATATATATATATATATATATATATATATATATATATATACATACATATATATATATATATAGTACTGCACTGGACAGCTGTTTCATCCTAGTATGGGATTGTTTCACTAGTGTTCACCCACAAACTCGCCGGAGGTCGAACCCAGGACCTTCAGGTTCCACAGCCAGCACATGGACATTGGACTATTTATTCATTTGTCTGCATTTCCCACTTCTGTCAGTTCACGAGATAGTATGACTTCTATCCAGTGCCTCCGTCGAGTAAGTTTCTTTACTTTCAACTTGGTTGGCCCTACCAATCACGATTCTCATTAGAACTTTGAGAATTTCATCTTGAACCAAATCACACATAAGCACGGTGATAAATACCAACCGGAAATAAATAAATAAATCCCTACAAACCTTCAAAATGAATTTTTATTGCGTGCTTATTATCATCTTCACTGAAACTCGAGAATGACTAAGCATATTTGAGGTACGAGTTTGACCACTGGTTTCAGATTAATGAAGGCCTGTCCTTCTATCTTTCCGATCCTGGCTTTGACGTTCTCATCTGTGCCACCTGTAGTTGAAAGGGTACTCCCCAGGTAGGTGTAAGTGGGAGAGACTACTTCCTTTACGTTTCTCCCGTTGATGGTGATTGGTGCTATTTGTGGTTATTGGTGTTGTCGTTTGTTGGGTACCTTTAACACCCCTCTCCTCTCTACGTTCACCTGAAGGAAGTTCCGTCTTCTCTATCTTGCCTCTTCTGTCAACTAGTTGGTTTTCGCCCGTACATCTTCAATCTTGTGCGACATTAGACATATATCATAATCGTTGGCGAAATCGAAATCTTCTCTTGGGGTCTCTTCATCGGTCAAACAGCGTATATCCATCTTCTCGCTCCTCATAGTTTGCTGCATGATCCAGTCCAGTCGATCACAATCAGGAAGATCATAGGTGATAGTAGGCGGCAGCCTTGTCTTACTCCTGTCTTCATTTCAAAAGTGTCACTGAGCTTTCCACTGTGAATCACTCGGTATATGATGTCTTCATATGGCTGTCGAATGAGGTTGATAAAGTTTTGTGGCACTAAAGCCATAGTGTTGAAGCAGCAGTTGCCAAATTACTTTTCAATCGATGCTGTTAAGTGCCTTTTCAAAATCGATGAAGTTGAGGTAGAGAGGTGACCGCCATTGTATGTTAAATACTCTTGCATACTTTTAAAAAGGTTCCAAACTACTGTTTTTCAAGCTAACAACAAAACAAAGAATAAATGATATGCAGGTAGTTTTTTTTCAATCCAGTACTACAACTGTTTATCAAGTTTTCTTGTAACTTTATTCCTCAATTTTTTGTTACTCCCTTTCAGGTCACTGAACTACTAGATATTTCTAAATTAGAACGTGGCAAAGCACCTGGTGTAGCTGCATGTGCACGTCATTTTACAGCTGTTTCTAATTGGGCTACTTATCAGCTTTTATACTTATCAAATTCTTCAGATCGAGATAAAATTGCTAATCGTCTATTAGATGTTATGGAGGTGAGTTAAAAATTTTTTTTGTCGTTTTCTTCAATTTGTTTTTTATCCTAGGATCTGAACATCTGAAAGATGATTAAATTAAGGGTGGAATTCTATTGATTCTATCTTACATTGTATCTACCATTTCAATCCAAATGTACTCAGCCGTCAAGCTTATATTGATAACTGGAAATAAAATCAATACTTTGGGTGTTTTGTAGGGATTCAATGATTTCAATTTGATACTCATCATGGACTGATATCAGCTGCAGGGACATCGGAAACTTGGAAGCACTAAACAACTGTTTCGTCCTATCATTGGGGCTCCTCACAGGTGCGCACTCATGACCCCACCAGGAATCGAACCTACGACTTCAGGTTCTGCAGCCAGCTTGTTACCATTGAGCCAGTGGATCTGAATGCAGTGGTCCATATTTCCAACTTCTGCCAGTACACGTCATAGCGCTATCATCACCGAATCTTATTGTTGAGTATTTGTCCTCATATCCATCAGGTTAGCCATACCGATCACCACTTTTCATTTGGATTTCAGGGATCACGTCTCGAAGCTAGTTACCAATGACTACTACGGATTCCGGTCCACTGACCCAATGGTAACGTGCTGGCCACGGAACCTGATGGTCATGCGTGCGCACTGCTGAGGAGTCCCGTACTAGGACGAAACAGCTGTCTAATACTCCCAGGTTTCCAGTGTTTCTCCAACTGATGTCGGTCCATGATGAATGTTTCAGACAACTTCGATTTATTGTTTCTAGAGTCGACGAAAGTACTATGGATTAACCACATCCGAAGTCTGTTTTCAGGAAATTATGGATGTAACCTTTTGCCTACCCTGGTTTGTTTGACCGAATATGATGGGCGACTTTAAAGGCCAGCCTAGCAATTGCTGGAATAACCAATTACATTTCTTCATCTTACGAAAAACTACCTTTCTAGCTGGAATCCTGAAACCTGATTGGTTATCTTGACAGTTGTCAAGGTGGCCTTTAAAGTCAATCTGATATGATACTTGTCTGTTACCATCCCTTAATCTCATATAACTAGAAATTATTGACAAATAATTACCTTAGTCTGGAGGTGTGTAGAGATTGTTTGGTTGGTTTCAAGGTAGTTTCATTGAGGAATGATATCAGTTAAAAAACTATTGGAAACCTGAGAGTAATGGAAAGCTGTTTCGTTGTACTATAGAGCTCTGAAGCAGTACGCACTCATGAATCCGCAAGGGATCGAGTTCACTTCCATCAGATCTCATGGTGAGAATGGTAAAATTGTGCCACTAGGTTGGAATGCGACGGTGGACACTCATACTTCTGTCAGTTGGCTGAATATTGATGCGTTGGCCACGAGGATTGGCCGTACTGGGCTCAATCCTTGGTGAGATCATGAGTGCACATTACTCAAGAGCATCATACTGGGACATAACAGCCATAAAGTGTGTTAGCTATTCTGTGGTCATATAAGAACTAAGAAATGACATCATCTCGCAACATTTCTATTCTGAGTGGCTTATTGAAACTAAATAATCATTTTACAGCCGAAGTTTTTTTAGTTATTCACATTGTTTTGATGTATACTACTACTATGCTACTATGACTGTTCTAGAATTACAATTTTGCGGCTACCAACTGTTCAATATCAGTGTATTTGTCATACAAACTAATTAATCCTCAGCAGTTTTATGCATTTTTTTTTTCCTTCTTCTTTTTAGCATTTATACAAACTTCAAAATTTTAGCACTTATCTCTCCTTACTCTGTGCATTCCTTCTTGTACCAGATGCTTTGTTCTCCCGTAAAACGCGAAGTGTAAGTTGTTTCCCTAGTACAAATGAATTTTGTACCTTAACCTTTACTCAACACACTTGTTCATTTCTTTTCTTAGTGTAGCTTTCAAATCAGAGCCAACAAATTTTCGTTTGTCCTTATGAGTTTTCTTTCAAAAACCGGTTACAAGATAAGTCGAAGTATGAAATATCTACATTGTGACAGTCGATTATTGGATATCAGGAGAATACTAGTTGCAATATTGTTCTCCTTAAAGTGTTTGATATCTTCCTCTTTAGTTTGTCAGTGACAGAATCACCTTTGAAGTTTAGATTCATATAAAGCTATTCCTTCGGGAAGATGATAGGGTTATCCTTGTGAAATTTTCGCGTGATATTCTTCTCTACAAAGTGTGTTGTTGGGAATCTATTTTCCATCAGAATAATCCTTTGAACAGAAATTCCCTTTGCCAATACATTGGGACTGTAGATTTGTTTAATGCGACTGACAACAGATGTGATCAAATTTCTTTTATGGATCGTTTGTGGATAGATAAGAAGTGCTGTAATTGAACATATTACGAAAATGGGTCAATCTATCTCAACAACCTCTTTATTCAAAGTCATTGAAAAATGTGAAAATAAACCTTCCAATGGTTGTATTTCTTTGCATTCTGTTTGTCGCCGAAGCTGTAACCATTCATATAGAGAGGCCTAAACTTTGTATGCAAAAGGAAATTGTTCAACCTCTTCTTCTTTTATGGTCAACTGGACTGTACTTATTCAACATGTGGTCAACAACACAAGTAATGGTGAAGCTAAGTGCCTAACCGATGATATTTAATGTGTTACTAGGTTGTTGAAATGGATTTGAATGATTGTTTATTAAAGCTCCGGTATGATTTTATATATTTTACTCACCTAGCTACGCGCTGAACTATCTCATCCGAATACTTAAGACTTACCTAAATGATAGTTTCGTTGTGTGCAACATTACTCATGCTCGAACCCACTCATATTTCCTTTCTGTTAAACTATTGAAAGATAGTGTTACTCTGTCATTGTTTAACTGAGTTACAATTGGTTAAAACCCTGATGTATATTTTAGGTGGATGAAATGAAGAGGTGTAACCCAGTGGCCTTTGGGTTATCAGCTCAGCGCTCTACCAACTAAGATACGTGACCAGATCTTATCATACATAATAGATGAAAAGCTAGTCTTACATTTCTTGTTAACGAAGTATTAGTTGTCTCTTGATCTCTGATGTTAATTATCATCAATTGTGCATCCTCAGATAGATTATATTGATTCATATCAGTCTGAAGTGTTTTTCAGTAATAGCATTGCTGTTATGGTGTGCAGTAAAGTTCCACAAATCGATCACAAAGTTCTAAATTCCACAAATCTCTTAGAACCAAACATTTCATTTCAAAGTTTCGGCAAAAAAGAAAAAATGACCATACACGTATAGATACCAGATTGGTTGAAAAAGGGCCATCAATAATTAGGTTATGCCCTAATAGGAAGGCCTAGAATTTGTGAGAATCCTTAGCTTATTCATGCAGCTGACGACTTAGCTTAGTAACTCTGTGGTCTTAACAGTTAACAGCTGAAGTATTTATTTCTTCTAGACGTTTATTCTTATCCTGTTTAATATTACCAAGATTTATTGCTGTGGTTTATGCGACAGTATTAGCAGCTAGCTAGATGGATAATATTTACTGCACTCAGCATTAAGAACAAGATCCGTATTTGTAACACTAATCCAGTCAACTTAGTGCTTCCATATGGTTCGGTTCATACACTTGGCGCGTTACGAAAAGCATTTCCAACTAACTACAGATATTCATCAACAACTGCCTACGCCGGCTCGTTACTCAAGCTCAGATGGTCGGAAAGAATAATAAGAATAAGTAACAAGGAACTCTGGCTGGCTGGCTGGCTGGCTGGCTGGCTGGCTGGCTGGCTGGCTGGCTGGCTGGCTGGCTGGCTGGCTGGCTGGCTGGCTGGCTGGCTGGCTGGCTGGCTGGCTGGCTGGCTGGCTGGCTGGCTGGCTGGCTGGCTGGCTGGCTGGCTGGCTGGCTGGCTGGCTGGCTGGCTGGCTGGCTGGCTGGCTGGCTGGCTGGCTGGCTGGCTGGCTGGCTGGCTGGCTGGCTGGCTGGCTGGCTGGCTGGCTGGCTGGCTGGCTGGCTGGCTGGCTGGCTGGCTGGCTGGCTGGCTGGCTGGCTGGCTGGCTGGCTGGCTGGCAACGAACCAACGAAGCAAGAACCTATCACTCAACAAATATGCACTGGAAGGAAGTGGAGATGGATTGGGGATGCACTGAGAAGACCGACTGGGGACATCACGGGCCAGGCCCTCGAGTGGAACTCGCATGGGAAACGACGAGTTTGGCGTGGGAGGCGAGAGTGACCTGGAGGAGATCATGTGAGGAAGAAGTTGAAGCTTCTGGGCAGTTGTGGAGCCAGGTTGGAAGGACTGCAGAGAATAGAGTGCAATGGATGCATGCTACTGAAGCCTTATGTTTCACTAGGAACCCAAGGGACAAGTAATAATAATATAACAGATGGATAATGTATCCTATAAAATTGGCTTCTTCTTCTGTTCAGTCGCATTTATTTTCTAATCTTTTCTTTTACTTTGTGTTTTTGTCTTCTGTATAGCGTCTCAGTCGTATCACACCATACATGCAACCTCCTTACTTTTCAAAATATCGTCGTGATCTAGAAGCTGCCAATCCTCCTTTAATACCCTATTTAGGTTTAATGCTACAAAATTTAGTTGTTTTAGCTCAAGGTAATCCATTATACTATAAAACTCCACCTACACAACTAGCTGACAGATATCAGTTGTGTCATGGTCCTATAATAAATTTCTGGAGATGTTGGAAACACTTTCTTATTATACACTTTTTTGTGAAACAAGAAAAAATGGATCCTGAAAAATCGTAAGTGTTCAGCTTTTGCTTTGTTTTGTTTTTTTTTTCGTTTTAGTTGTTAGGATTCATGTTGCCTAGTTTCAAAATCTATTGTAGTGGGCGTTGCTGATAACAACTGATATAAGTAGTATATATCGAGAGGGTGGCAGGAATCATAGGGAATTACCGGCAATGGGTAAGGTTTCTGCCAAGAGCAACGCAGGGGACAACATAGGCGTATTACAGGGGATGCTGCTGATAAGAGTGTATGAAGAGCCGGTCAAGAGCAAATCATGACAGGAACGGAGAGGAAACGAAGACATTTGTAAATGGCTGCGTTAGTGCAAGGAGTACTATATGTAAGCACTACCATTCCAATTGTTCGTAACAAAATTCTCTCGTCGAGTTGTCATTTGTTTCTTCACTATCACTGAATAATACAAATAGTTGGTGATTCACTGATACTGGTTTGGTTTTTTCTCACGTCATAGATTGGAGAGATACTCAGCCAACCTATCCCTATGTGTACCCATAGGCAATGAGCCATACCTGTTGTGTGAGGGTTAAAGATACTAACAGGCTGCCTACATCTTGATAGGTGGAGTGGGGTTGGAACCTGTGACCTGAAAGTTGAAAGTCATCTCCCTGAGTCATAGATGGGAGAAACCTATGTGTTTCGACAAGCACAGTTAGCAATAGTGCTTCTGTTGGAAACCACCACCCAGTCAAGATCATAAGGTTTGATCTCTGACACGAAATTGTCTTGACCTAGCGAAATATGCTGCTAAATAAGTTGAGTATTTAGAAATTAATCAGGCTGATTTGTATACTCAAGTAATCTGAACTAATTCGGCCCTTACAAACTTCGATAGGTCATTTAAACTAAGGGTTACAGAACATATTTTAAAGTGGTTTCAGAAACAGAAAGGATCGCCTGACCCTACTAATGCTGGTAACAAATGTTTGAGCTCATAAATAGCTAAGTCTAAAGGCTCGCAATCTAACTTCTGCGCCTGAAACTCTGTCTTGCCTCAACACCGTTTAATTAGTGAAATGTAGACAATGTTATAAAAACTCAGGACTTTCAAATTTCATGGTGAATGCGTTAACCATTCAGCCACTGGGTCAGTTTTCAGTAGTTCACAGTTCCCAACTTCTGGCAATTCACATTATAGCGCGACAACCACCCGAGATCTTCACTTGGCATCCACTTCCGACTGGTTGACCCCACAAGTCACGGCTTCTCATTAGAGCTTCTTGATATCTATCTGGAAGCAAGTCACTAATGAGCACTATACAGTAGTGTATTTTTGAGATGACTGGGGATTTTTAATTGAAAGGTAGTATTTATCACGGACTGACATCAGTTGGGGAACTGCTGAAAATCTGAGAGGATTGGACAGCTTTTTCATCCTAGTATGAGACTCCTCGGCAGTACGCACCCACGACCCGGCCACGGATCGAAACCAGGACCTTCAGGTTCCACGGAGAACGCGTTAACCATTTAGCCACTGAGAAGCTGTTACCTATGGGGTCAACCAGTTAGAAGTGAAGCGGATGCCAACTGAAGACCTTTGGTGATAGTCGTGCTATATCGCGAGCTGACAGAAGTTGGAAACTACGAACCACTGAAAACCGACCCAGTGGCTGAATGGTTAACGCGTTCACTGTGAAACCTGAATGTCTTGAGTTCGATCTCTAGCCGGGTTGTGAGTGCGTACTGCTGAGGAGTCCCACACCAGGACGAAACAGCTGTCCAGTACTCTTAGATTTCCAGTGGTTCCCCAACCAATGTCAGTTCGTGATGAATACTACCTCAAATTAAAAATCCCCTTTCATCTCAAAAATGTTATAAAAACATTTACGGTGGAATACATTTAATCTCCTCATGTTTACGGTCATTATTATCCTATGGGCTGTTAAGTAAATTAGGTCGGCAAACTTTTAATCCATTAGGCCTTGGTTTACATATCTACTTAACAATGCATTCATATCTTCATGAATGCCGCATAGTTATCAGCCTTAAAGAAGGAAAGAGAACTAATGACTCACCGTCATTCTGTCAACAGAACTATTCTAATATTAGAGTCAATCAGCAGGATACCTTGGACCCAGGTTTCATATTTGCAAACACTCAGCAGTAAGGCTTTTTTCTAGGAGCATGAGGATGCTTATGTTTACTACTGGATGACTGAAACTTGTAGTACTCAGTGTCAGGGTTAATCGTGTTATCACTTGTTATTTCTCTTTGTTATTCTAGATAGAATCAATTGACTTGTGTTAGCATATGGACGCTCCTATTCGGGGATGTCTTGATATTGTTTGATCGTATATTATGCTGTAATTTGCGTGATGGTGGTTAGGACTGGAATTCAGGACACGTGTGCCTCATTGGTGTAGTGGATAATGCTCTAATGTTTAAAGCGATAGGTATTCAGTTCGAGTCTCTATGGGAATTTCATCACTCACTGGGGTGCAGGTACATCCAGATAATAAGTTCCAATTAGGATGAAACGTTCGTCCTGGATTCTATTGTTAGCCACTACCAAGAGAATTACATTATAGTACTAACCCGAAGTCTGTCAGTGTTTTTTTTGAAACTGTGGTGTTAAATTTTATGCCACAGTGTCGTAACACTTATTTTGATAGTCAAATCATGAACTGCAGTAGGCAGTGGAGAGGGCATTATCTACCTGCCCAGACGTTAATAGATAAACAGGGTTTCGAACCCGTGATTCATCGACTAAATTAATGGGCTACAGCTTCATTCCAATTCAATTTACATTGAAATACACCTTAAAACGTTTATAATCACATTCTCAGTGTCCATTAATGATGTAAAGTAGATCATATTTTTGTTCGGGTGAGAATATTTTAATGTCCCTAACTGGATCCTACTATGAAATTTGGCAATTGTGTTGTTTTTTGTAACTGTATCATTTTAACTTTGAAACATCAGTCTTTTATCGTATCATTATATCATCATCAAGTATACCATACAAAATTCTACACTATATAAGCGATACTGTTTACCTTCTCAGTTTTTCTTCACTAACTTTATTGGAATATTTTATCTGTATACATAGAAAGGAGAAAAAATTCTTGAAATATAAATGGATTAATAAAGGAAAAAGGTTATTACCTAATGTGTTTATATATTTTAACTTGGAGTGGTTTATACTACAACCAAGCCTTTCAATTCTTAATGACTGATATATTTCTGTGTGTGTGTGTGTGTATGTGTACTTGTGTATCTCTTAACCCTATTATCCACTATCGTCCTCCGCTATAGCTGTTATGGCTATTTGATTATTAAAAATTGAATATAAACAACGTCAGTGTATTCAATAGTTATTGAATAACTGAAAAATTCATCTTATCAATTCTACATAACTGTCTGTTAGCCTAACTTATTTGTTTGCAGCATAACATGGATATTAAACGAATATTTTTTATTCTAAACGTCTATCAATGGATATCTAAATTATATTCATTCGTTTTATTATATATCCACATTATTTCAGACAATTGAAGATTCCTATTTCGTATAATTAAAAGTCAAATATGAATAATGAATACTTTCTACAATAACTTCCCATTGAGATGTGGTTCTCATCCCCAAAATGCAAATTGTTGCTCCAGAATTAGTCTTCAACCGTCCCACGGTTAACAATAGACAGTAAAGTGGTTGAGTGTATCGACCACTTCACTTACCTGGGAGGTGCAATCAACCCTCCTCCACTAGTTGCCGATGAAATCTCTGCACGAATACAAAAGGCTCAGCTGGCTTTTGCCAATTTATGCCACCTATGGCGTCGCCCTGATATCAGTTTGTCTACTAAGGGTCGCGTGTACTACACCTGCACAGCAGTCTGCTCTGTTCCACTGTATGGCTGTGAAACATGATCATTCAAGGTGGAAGACATGAGAATGCTTCAAGTGTTTGACCACCGTTGCCTTCGTAGTATAGGCCGCCATATTCCACGGTGTCACCAGGTGAGTAATGCAGAAGTCAGGTATTGAGTTTCAGGGAGAAGAGGAAAATCAGTTGACGAGGTTATGAACCTTCATCGACTGAGATGGTTGGTGCACATGTTACGTATGCCTGCCTAGTCACCGATTGCCTCATCACACAATGTTGTCTGAAGTAGGTCCAGGCTGGAAAAGGGCCCGAGGTGGCCAGACTGAAACATGGCACCAATGCATGAAGTCTCTGACTGTTGGTTTGAGCCATGTGGGATGATGCAGACTAAGTGGTTGGTGTCCGTGGGACAAGAGGAAGCAGTGGTTGGAGATTGTAGGTGATCACATGGCTGAGAACCGATGTCAGTGGTGCAGATGTATACACACATTATCCTCATCTTAACGACGCTATACCGAATCTCACCATTTTCTCATTCATCCTCTCTCTTTTGTAGTATTTGAAATTTCTTTTGACTTGCTTGATTTTCTTATCTTCATCTTGCGTCTCACTGCCTTTTTACTTGATGTAGTGATATGAAGTGTGTCAAGTGGGACCGTTATGTAGTAATGCCTGGTCCTATGTTGATATTGATGATGATGATGATGATGAGAGTTCTACAGTTATAAAATCAATCTTGTTAACACATTTTACGACGATTGCATTTCAGAAAGGATCTGGAATCGATCAGATCATTTATGTAGGAATGTGAAATTAATAATCCTTTTTTTAAATCAATAAAAATTTCCATCACATTTAAAAGCCATTTGAATGAACAAAGAATATTCTTTTCGATAATTTCTTCTTCACATCCTACAGTTATATGCATATCTTAAGGAATCACGCTTCACCAATACGAGATTCCATTTATCAGTTTGTTAACAAATATTATACAGTTGAGGAAGTTAATTGTGAGGAAAGTCTTGTGTAAACGTTAGTGACAGAATCAACTGTTACTTGGATTCAATTCAAAGTGGTTGGTAATCTAAGGTGTTTATGACAGTTGTATAAAATAAACTAAGAAGGACAAAATAGGTTAAAAGAATTTGCCAAGGGGTATCTACAGTAT